CGTGCATATTACAAATGTTCAAGAAGTTAAAAAAGACGTAAAATAGTTTTTGTGATAACCTGGAATCAGCATATTCTAGGAAAAGCAGAAATGGAATTGCTGTATAATCATTTTGAGCTCAACTTCTTGTCGTGAATAGTTCGCCTTGATTACATCATGTTCCTGAGGAGAAAACCGGGTAAAACATACTGAAATTGGTGTTTCAAACAAGCTCTTCGGAGAGAGTTTTCTTCAACCTAAAGGTTGTGCTTTCTGGTGTTTCGGATTCGAGAATTACCAGGTTTCTTGAGTTATGGGATAAAATTTCTTACGTTTGTTGAACTCAAGATCTCGACCATTCAAAAAACATTTTCATGAGGGATATCATCGATTAAATATAGTCAGATTAATTAAAGGGAAGTTTTAGCCTTAAACTTTCACAATTCAAAATCAGAATCATTTCACAAACATCAATTCTGTTTTTCCGTAGTGCGACTAGAAGCTTTAAAAAAAATTTTGTTCAACAGCGTTTATAACAGAAACAATAAATGACACTTTTTTGCTTGTTTTAAATATCCCTTTTTGTTGAAACTGCAATCAAAACGTTTCTCCTTAGTTAAAACACAAGTTCTGAATAAATAAACAAATATTAAATATATAAAATTACAAAAAGATGATTAACTTGCCATCTCGAAAACTGAAATTTTGAACAAGAAAACGCTCAAAAACTCTAACTCAATACTTCTCGACCAAGAAAAATTGCCAAGGAAAAAATTATGCAAGATATTTCTTGAAGTTTTAGATGTGTATTACGACTGCAGAAAGCAATCAGTAAAATAATATTCAATCCGTTTTGCCTTACAGAGAGTTCAGAGTTGGATATAGTCGACAATGGTCTTCGGTAAAACGACTGTCGTCTGAATATCTATATAACATCCCAAAACCTTTTGCATCTTGCATGAAACGTAAAGTACTTTCTCCTTGAGGGTTGCCAGAGAAGTTGGTTGTCACAAGTCGAGCAACATAGTCAAAAACCGCAGAATAGCAGCGCTTTGGAAACAGTGCTGAAATGAAAAAGTCGCTTTTATTCCGGCACAACACAACACCATTTCAAATGCTTCATCAATTTAAACAAACTAGAAGTCCGGAATCTTCAATTGTTATAATTCTTTTACTTTACAAAACGTGAAGGTATATTCAAGTTTTGGAAGCAAAACAAGTGGCGGGAAGATAAAAAATTAATTAGAGTTATTTGACGCCAAATTCGCGTTTCTTTTTCGACCTCGAGTCTGTTTCTCTCGTAGTTGGCGGTGAAACTGTAATTTGAGCTTTTTCTCAAGAACTCATGCAAGAAAATGTACGTTTTCATATTAGTATGTGGACACCGATAAAAAAATATGCGACTTTCGTGCACTTTTTTCTATTACCAATTCATTGGATGAAAGTTATAAATTTAAACAAGGCTCAAATGAGATTTTATTTCCTATTTTCAATTTTTTCTGATTACCGAGATTGATCTTGATTTACCGAGATATTCACTATTCTACGCTACAGAGAGCACTGTTTTTGTGAATATCTTGGTAATCGTAGCTGATCAGAAAAAATTGAAAACAGGACATGAAATCTCATTTGATTCTTGTTTAAATTTGTAACTTTCATCCAATGAATTGGTAATAGAAAAAAACGAAAAAGTGCACGAAAGACGCATATTTTTTTCAAAATCGAGAATAATTTGAAAAATTCGAGGAAACCCTTCAATGTCCTGGGGTTTGAGGTCATTGCGAGTACGAATATTATAGCCGCTATCAGTAAATCGACGCGGGGTAGCCCCTACCCCCTCCCTATATGTATTTTTAGCAAACGTTTTCTCTGGACACGATTAATCGAAGAATCCTTTTAATCGTCAGTCGGTTAATCGACTAATAACCGTAACTGGTACATGCCTATCACAAACAGAACAGTCCGAAGAATTTAAACCTAAATCAGTACTGTGAAAACATATCTTTCACTCTGGACATTCAATTAATTTTGATAATATCAGAATAACTGCTTGAGACTGTAGACTCTATCGATTATTATTAAAAGAATTTTTTGCTATTCGTGCAAATTCTCCTCAGTTCAACAGGACAGATTGCTCAGTCCCATTGCATGTCTTTTCAGAAGGGTTTTCTATTTTGAGATATGTTCGAAAATAATGTATTGCAATTAGGTAGAGAGAAGAAAGGAATAACATAAAATATCTTAGAACAGATAGTGGTCATGAGTATAGTAGTTGCTGAAGCTTTTCATATCACAAGACATTTACGTCCAGTTCCTATTTCAAAACAAACTGCTTTGGATATGTATTTAGCTGAACCAAGCCCTAATTTTGGTTATGAAATTATCAATAAATTCACTGGTTTTGGTTATACTGCTATACTATTAAATATGACTTCGGTAACATATTTAACTTCGGTTGAAGTTACATGCTCAAACTGGTGGCACTATTTAGTTATTGTTGTCCCAGAATATATCAATCCAGCTTATGCTGACAAAGCTGTTATGTTAATTGCTGGCGGTTCACGGTACTCTGGACAACCGAATGCAACATCAGCTGATGTTAAATTATTTAGTGCTATTAGTACCGGTATCGGTGCTGTAGGTGTAATATTGGGTGAGATCCCAAATCAACCTTGTGTATTTGCTGTTGATCCTTTACATCTAGACCGTACTGAAGACGATATTATTGCGTTTGGTTGGCGAATGTTTTTAAACGATTCAAGTCGACCAGATTGGTTAGTCCGACTTCCTATGATCAAATCTGCTGTATTAGCCATGGATGCAGTTCAAGAATATTTAAATGTTACGAATAATATCCATATTTCTGAATTCATTACCGCCGGGGCTAGTAAACGTGGCTGGACCACATGGCTAACGGGTGCTGTTGATTCTCGTGTAATTGGAATTATTCCTATTGTTATGGATGAATTAAATTTTTTAGCCAATATTAAACATCATTATCAAGCC